TTTTTTTTTTTTTTTTTAAAGAATAAGTAACACACCACGCGCAAGTCGCAACTGTTACGCGCCCGTCCCGTTGAGGCGTGTGCGTAGTCACAGAATATTCAACAATCGGCTTCAACAGTCAAACCCACGAAAAAACCCGAACATAAAAATTCATTTCCATCTTTCATATTTGATCGAGGATTTTTCATCCCTGCCACAATCCACCATTGGAACTCGAAGCTTCCCTGTCGAGAAGGTTAATCCTGCAATATTGATCTGTAGATTACGGTGACAAAGAAGTAAGTGATAGTTTTTTTTTTCCCCTTGTTGGCCGGGCCAATTGATCGCCATGTCGATGTCCGATTCCGATACGTCCTCGCAAGGGAGCGAGTACAAGAGTTTTCGTCAAATTAGCCGTGACAGTAAGTCGAATTCGAATCCCTATGCTTCTTTTGTACGCCGTTTATCTGTTTGTTGGTGGTTGGGGTTGATTTTGTAGTTTGTTCGTTTCTGCCATTTTTGGATGGAGTGTAATGATGTGATTTTGTGAAGGATGTGGGTTGTGTGGAGGAATTAAAATAATTTTTTCTCTTCTTCTAATGATATGTGGGCACAACGCTGACATGAACATAAATCCTGATATTTAGCTGATTTAGAAACTTCCTTCTTAAGTTTGACTTGCTCAGGATTGATCAAATTCGTTCCATGAATCATATGATAAGGTTAGAGATTCTAAATTTAAGTTCCATATCACGAATAACCATTGCTAAGGCAAATGTTCGAAGTTATGTCTGTCCAACACCGATTAGTTATTGGGCACCTTCTCCCTTTGAGCTAGCTTTTGGGGATGATTTATACCCAAACCCATTTATCGTGGTATCAAAGCATCTAGGTTTTTGTTTGTTTAGATGCAATGTTGGGTTTGGACCCAACCCATTTGGTTTGGCGCGCTGTGTGAGGGCGGGTGTTAGAAGTGCGGGTTGATCACCCTATCCCTTTGAACTAGCTTATGCGGATGAGTTCTACCCTGGCCCATTTATTAGTAGCATTGAAATACAATTGCATGCTGTTTTTAGACATGACATGCGATCTTTTTCTTGTTCACCCCTGGCATTCAATTCACCCACCATGCTCAAGGCATATTTGTGGTTGCCCACCACTTGATGGAACATCTACTAAGTTCTTTTAGTTCGAGTAAGTTGGGGAAGAGACTTGGAGGCCAATACCTTTGTGTGATTGGAGAATGGGTCAGTGGGTGAATGTAGTATCACAGTGCGAACACAGTTTGGGTAAGTTGGTGTCTCAGTGAAAGATGGTATTGGTCCTAAAATGGAAGGTCCAGAAGATTCTAAAAGTTACTTTCAGCTGCAAGAAAAAAATTTGGATCTTTGTCAGGCTTCACAGCAGCCTGGTGCTATAATTGCAAAGCTTATGACAGACTTGACAGTAGATTTTGTTAATTTTTATGCACTTAAAATGCTCATTGTACCTGGAAACTGATACGAAACGCTAGGATCAAGGATCTGGTCGACATCTTAGAACTAGATTCTACCAGTCATATTCTGTATCGTGGACAGTATCTGGACAGATTGAGATAGCAGCAAACACGGAGAGATAATATCTTCTTTGTTAATCATCTTTACAGGAATCCGTGTATACTTTATTTCAGAATATTTTGGTGATGCCCTTTCAGAAGAAAGGAAAAGGAAATAACAAAAATAACCTATTTATGACGAAAACGTAACGAATTTGAGAAACTTTCTTATTCTTCTCCTTTCTAAAATCTTAGAAAAATAATTAACAAAATTTGCAGAAGCTTTAATCTAGGTAATATATGTAAATTAATATGTCGCATGTTATAGAACTTTACTTATTTTTTATATTTTTCTTCTTCTTTTTTCTTTTGTTGGGTCATCTTTTTGTGCTTGAGTTTAGACTTTAGAGACGCTGTCTTCACCCCTTTCCCTAATGGGATCTAATAATCAAGTCCTGTTTAAGAGTATCAGTAAGATAGCAACACTACCCATAATATTGTTGTTAACATCGACTGTTCAATAAACTTATTAACCTTCTAAACTTGGAATCTGCTTTTGTATTGGTCTTTCTCAGTGATTTAAAAGGTTCTACCTAGGTGTGAGGTGAGATGAACCGATTCACGGCACTGCCTAGCGCTTCGTGCGCGTTCTAGTTCTCTGGTCTTTCTATTTATGACTAGGCACATATAATGATATAAATGTGTGGTTGCTGCACTCCATTAATTTAGTCCATTAGTTTGAAGCTAAAATCTAGCATAGCAATATGTGTGTGATTTTAGGGTTGCATTGTGTGATTGGTGGTTATTCTTATAATATGGATTTGTTATCCTTATATTTATGTTATTTATCAACTAGTACATTATATGATAAATCCTTATTCTGTAATGGATTATTTTAAGTCATATATCTTTGTTAATATGCCCTTAACATGCAGGATTATTAAATGAAATGCTTCGATCTGCCAAAACAGGGGACTCAAAGTCGACTTGGAAGGTACAGGAAACGTATGATCTATCTATTTCTATTTGAAAGTCGAATCAATTTCGTGGAGCTCTGAGCCCTTTGTCTTTACCTTTAGGAGTCTAAGTAAGAAAATTGTTGATTGGTTATTTTAAGTTCTTGTTTAGGATGTTTTTCAGAAAAATACCTATCAAGTTTTTTGATATCCATGTATATTTCTCCCAACTATTTAAACTTTTTTTGGAAAATCATTTGTCAAGACCGATACACTTCTTTTTCATTAGTATCTTGCTTGTGGAAATAGAAGAATTTTCTTCAAGTTATCAAAGAATCGGAGCTTAATGTTGGAAGGCTTACGAAAATCATAGCAATGGTGAGAATTCTGTAGGAGTTAAGTGACACACAGCAATGTATTAAATAATGGAGCGAGATTTGTTTTGGTTGCTGTCGGGCTCATCTGATTGCTTGGTCGTCTGACGTATCATTTATGCCAAGATAATATGACAGCGCCATATAATTATTATACAGGATCATTTTAAATATAAAAATAACTGCCAACAAATAAAAAGATAATTCTGAGCAAGAATTTAACAATCACTTACATATTCCGAAGTGGTAACTATGAAGCTTTAAATTTCCATGATAGAAGTCATAAAAATAATAAAACACGAAAATGATATACATAGAAAATCTGTTCGAACGGTTAAACAAGTTATAAATGCATCAATTGCAAGAAAAAAGATGAAAAGAAAAAAGAATTATTTTTCTGGGGGCTAATTGTGCTAAACTGATTACTGCATGGAGCTGGTGGGAGTGTGGTTTTGTCCTCTTTTAGTTAATTGTTAGGGATCTCCGTGGTCTTTTTTTTTTTTTTTTTTATAAGTGTCCATTCCACTTCTATATCCTTGAATAGTGACTATCAATGTGAAATTTTAACGTTGTAAACCAATTTAGTAATTTTTCCTTCTAGCTGTTGCAGCATTGTTTTCCTTGTCTGTGTCTTCTACGTGTCAAAGATCTACTAGTGAAATTAAATTAGCCTAATTTTTTTAATGCGAAACCAGTCCATTCCCCTTTGTGTGGAACTTGTTTGCCTCTTAAGACACAATTTTTGTTCCATATCTTTTGCAAGATACTGAAATTGAGTAAATATCAGGTAGTCTGCTTGTCAAATATGTTTTGTAGTTAATACCAGGACAATAATAACTTACTCAACCTTTTTAACGTTATTATTGACCATGTTCCCTCACATTATGTCCTTGGTTTCTGTATTGATGGAATTATATGTCTTGTTTTTAATGCTCTATCGTGTAATATCCCCTGCTAGTTTTTGTTCCCTTGTTCTTTTGCCTTTCAGCTTCTGTATCTTCCTAAGAGCGTGTTTTTTTTTTTTTTTTTAGTTAACCAAAGTTAATTTTGAAAAAAGTGGCATGGTTAGTTGTTAGTGGGATTTTGATTTTGTATTAAAAAATTATTTATAATAAAATAGTTATAATTGATTTGACGTAAAAGTAGGAGATGGATGATGTGAAGTGATAGTTAAAATTATGTGAGTGGGTGAATAGTAGATTAAATTTGATGTAATGTATAAGAATGATTGGTTGGTATTATTTAATTATGTTGATAATATTGAGGATAGTGGAGTTGGTTTAAAGTTGAGTTATATTTTCAGTATGAATTGAGTATGGATTGAATATTTTCATATACAAACATACCCTTAGTTTTTTAACCTTTTTGACAAGCAGGTACTCATCATGGATAAGTTGACAGTTAAAATAATGTCTTATGCGTGCAAGATGGCAGATATCACAGAGGAAGGAGTTTCATGTAAGAAATAAAGGGCAGTCTCAGAGATAAATTGTACATTTCTTCTTTTTGCTGCATGAGGTGTACTTTTCTTTCTGTAATGCTTTAGAGATTGATGATGATAATATAATCTAAATGCTGAGCATAGATTTTGGACGTTTCTCGTTAATATTTTATTTATAAAGGAATGGTATTAAATTCTTTCAAATAATCAGATATTTCATGATCACATGTACTCATATCTTTGTGCCGCCAGCTGCATCTACAATTCGATATAGATTTGTGTCCTTAAGCTATCTAATTCTTCTTTTGCTTGCTTACGTTCCTTTGGTTTTCTGGCTGAATCAGTACTCTGTGATTTGATTGTAACAGATCAGTTAACATATACAACAATTTGATATGACTGCTTAAACTCAGCCACTACTACCTGTTGTTTCCATTTTACATCAGAGAACTTAAATTGATGCTCTAATTGGGTTGGAGCATTGGTGTGATTGAAGAACTTGATGAAAAATATCAAATAACATTGGGCAAATAGTTTCCACTCTTATTTCTTTCTGTTTATATTGCTGAACAAATTATTTCAGATTTTTAGGTGTTGAAACTTTGCCCCCCTTTCTTCTCTGGCATATCTTTGCTTGTTCAGCTGGTTAATGAAGTAGCTACTCAGTTACTGGCGTTACATATTTGACATCCCAGTATGTTGGTCACATATGTGGGGTTTTTTTCCCAATTTGTGCACTATGTATGTTATGTTTGCTAGCTTTGTATAGAAATTTTGAGTTCGGCATTCGGTATGAAATCGTAAGTTAGTGGAAAATATTCGCATACAAACTGTGATGCTTGCTGGTATTTTCGCTATTAGATGAATATGGAAATAGTATTTTCGCTATTAGATGAATATGGAAATAAGAAATGGTGATATAAGCACTTGATTGATTCCTCAGTATGCATTCCTCTGGTTTATTCAATCTCCTTCTGGCAAATATCAACTTATGGCTTGTGTATATATTCAAATTATTGTGATAGAGAAGTAACTGGTTTCTGGTGTGATCCGCAGTGGTGGAAGACATACACAAGAGAAGACAGCCATTGCCAACCATGGATGCCATATATTTTATCCAGCCAACCAAAGAAAAGTACAAGTCATTTTACTTATTTTTTAGTTAACACATTTCTGTCTAGCAGCATATGGTGGTGGAACTGTAGCAGTTATTGCGAGACTTTCACTGTCTTTTAGGAGAATCTGACTTATTTTTATTTAAGATACAACAAATTAACCTACTAATTCAATTCCTATAAGCCTTTCAAACTGTGACAAGTGGATTCTCCTATTTGAGTCATGAGTCATGGTTCGAATGTGATACAATTACGTGTTTGACATATTATGCAGTATGGACTCCTTTACTCTGCATACTGCATATTATCCATTTAGGTGGCCACAGGTACCAGCAATTGTATGACCTGTCTAAATATGAATTAGGGCCTGCGGCATATCAATACACTAGCCACCATGTTATTCCATGTTTGGGTTCTATGCCACTTTTGCTTACACCATTCCAACTGGTAAAATCTGTATGCTCATGGCAATCACAACATTGCCATGTTTGCCCAACCTTACATAATATGGTAATCTCTCTCTCGAGAAGTGTGAAGCACAAGATTTTAATCAAAATTTTTAGATTGCCTTCATAAACATTTTAACTGTTTTACCATTGCTTAGTGAATGTGGATGAAGAGAAGAATTACCATCCTCTAGTGGCATTTGTTAATTAATTCACCACTTCCTTTCAATTTGTTATTTCAGTCCATAATTGGCATAATTTGCTCCCTTACCAGATATATTTTGTGTGTACTCTCCGTTCTATGTGAGGATTACTTTTGTCTTCTTTTTGTTTATCATTGATCTCTCACCCATATGTTTGTGTTGATAATGCAGCATTGTTATCTTCCTCTCTGATATGTCTGGAAGATCACCGTTGTACAAAAAGTATGTCAAAAGTCTCTAAGTTTTTGTATTAATGTTCTTTACAACTTCATGGATTCTTTCTGTTCACCTTATTCAAGTTGGACGGAATAATTTCTTCAGTAAATTAATTTAAGCTCACTCGCATCCATTTTTTTCCCTACTTTTGTTCTACCGTCAGGGCATTTGTTTTCTTCAGCTCACCTATTGCCCGAGAACTGGTTGGTCACATTAAGAGAGATGGAAGTGTTCTATCTCGCATCGGTGCCTTAAGAGAGGTTATCTTTATAATATCTGCTTTCAATTTACAAATATTACACTTGAGTTAGATATGGTCTTTATTCTCATTTATGATCTGTAATCTCCAGATGAACTTGGAGTATTTCGCCATAGATAGCCAGGTACACAATTCCCAACATAGTGTGTGGAATTTTTTTCTTGTCGCGAGAACTCAGTCTTTCAAATTCTATATCAATAAAATACGTATTATATGTTTAAAATGGTGGGACTATTACTGAATGAAATAAACAAATACATCTTACACGGGGGATGATTAAGTTTGTTTTTGGTGTAACTCGCTTTATGTCTATTTATTGATACCCTATGGATGGGGGATGATTGAGGGAATATGGAACATTGAGAATAATTGGATATGAGATGAAAATATAATGACGAAAGTAGATATGATGTAGAAAAATATGTGTATGTGTATTTTCTTAAGATGGCAAATGGCGTGCATAATAGGTACTCATAAGGTGAGCCAGTCACCCAGCTACTCAAATTGGGTAGAGGAGGGGGAGGGGGGTGGGGGTGGGGGGTGTTTCTTTTTTCTTGTGAAAAGGTAAACCTCACCCATGTGGAAAAAAGTCATGGCAGGTAAAAGCGACCCCATCATGAATGTGCACAATAGGTGGCACTCTCAAGCTTATTGCATTACCAAATTGATAAAATGAAAAGAGGAACCAGCCTGATAATTAGCACAAAAAAATAAAAAGGAGTCCTGGAGGACCACCCAACTTCAAATCCAATATTGTCAAAATAAACTGCACGTTATGCACAAAAAAATTGTCTTGCTGGATACGGGGTGGATAAAGAAGTTCGGTAGTCTTAAAGATGCTTGTGGGTGAATAGTGAAATTTTTAGAAAAATGTGTAATAACAACACATTCTTTTTTAGAAGCAATGTGTAGATGTAGTTGGTGCAGCATGAAACAGTAGAAAGTGATTGCTGTAGGCATTCACATTTTGGGTTTTCTCCATCCATTCTTTTTTTTTTGGTTCTGGTGGAGTGGTGGTGTATCTAAACCTACTTGTGCATTTCAATAACAAATTTTTAGTTTCTATTCTTTCTTCTCAAGCTATTCTTGTTGAGTCGGAAATGTCAACATCCTACTGAATAGTATGTGCCTTTTCAAAATGTGTTGTATCTACAGGGTTTTGTCACTGACAATGAGAGAGCTCTTGAAGAACTCTTTGGGGATGAAGAAAGCTCTCGCAGGGGTGATGCATGCTTGAATTTGATGGCTACCCGCATAGCTACTGTGTTTGCATCATTGCGGGTATGTAATCTAAGTTTTGTATATTGACCTGTACCTGTAACAAAAAACTCTGATTCAAAATTGATAGACATTGTCATGTAACAGGAGTTTCCAATGGTGCGCTACCGTGCAGCCAAATCCCTCGACCCTAGTACAGTGACAACATTTCGTGATTTAATTCCTACAAAACTTGCTGCTGCTATTTGGAACTGTCTTATGAAATATAAGGCTAACCCCAACTTTCCCCAATCGGAGACATGCGAGCTGTTGATTCTTGACAGATCATCAGACCAGGTTCCTAACTTGCCAACCTATTTGTCAAAATCCTAATGGATCATAACTTTACATTAATACGTATAACATCTTTATATCCACGTGCAGATTGCTCCGGTTATACATGAGTGGACTTATGATGCCATGTGCCATGATTTACTAAATATGGAAGGGAATAAGTATGTCCATGAGGTAATTAGTCTCTGAAATGTAATTGCTGCCATGTTGCATATTAGTTTGACAATTTTAATTTAAGCGATTGCACTGCCCTCAGGTTCCAAGCAAAACTGGTGGTGTTCCTGATAAGAAAGAGGTTCTTCTGGAGGACCATGATCCTATCTGGCTAGAGCTCCGCCATGCGCATATAGCTGATGTATGTTGAGCATGCTGAAAATTCAATTTATTTGCAATTGTTTGGAATACCCCGTTTGAAGGGCATTACTTTATTTAATGGTTGACTTTGCCAGGCTAGTGAGCGGTTGCATCAGAAGATGACAAATTTTGTCTCAAAAAATAAAGCTGCACAAATTCATGGTTCAAGGTCCGCTTTTTATGCATCATTATAGATTTTTGGATCCTTGTGAAATCTAGATCTCGAGTTTAAATTGAAATCTAATATTTAGCATAGTTTAACATTAGATGCCTCTACTTGCGAAGAGTGCCCTATTAACTTATCTCCATTGCAGATTTTGATTATTGTCGTATTTTATAAGCTATATTTAGTATATATTCGTCCTCTTCCACTATTTTGAATTTTGATGCATCATGCTTAAGAGTTATCAAACATCTGTTTGTTAAACTGTATGTCATTCATGTTCCCGGAAGTCTAAATTGGTTGCTATTGTATAAGCTTAACAACATTTCTGCACATCAGACTTATCATTGTTTTGTATGCTTCTCTTTATTTTAATTGCCAACTTTGTTCATACCAATTTCCCCATTTGAATATGTTCAACACTTTTAATGAATTGCAAACGAAATATTTTGATTTATTAGAGCTTAGGAGTTGGTAAGTTCCATCAATTTTCAGAATGATATGAAAGAAAAATCAATTTAGGAGCTCGCATACTTTTGTCCTTTCAAAGAAAATTTGGGCATGTACTAGATGTCACGTCTTCGGCCTTAGCTGGAAGGACTCCAATATAGCTACTCATTAAATGTTTTGAAAAGCTCAAAGTTTTCTTTTCACAATCCGCCATAATGATGACAACAACCTTTAGATTTGTTGTATTGTCATTTGGTTATTTTTATATTCTGATCTCTAATATTATTAGTAAAATCATAGAGATGGTGGTGAGTTGTCGACTCGGGACTTGCAAAAGATGGTTCAAGCTTTGCCCCAGTACAGTGAACAAATTGAAAAGCTTTCCCTCCACGTTGATGTGAGTCTCCTGCAATTCCAATTGCAATTTTTTTGTTGGCCGGCTTTTCAAATCATTTGAAAAGAAGTTAAGAAATTATGATGCATGCAGCAGAGAGTTTGGTGCATTGATGGCATAGTTCCTTTTGATGACAGCAGTCTTTTGAGCCATATTAAAATGTTGTATCTTTGTTCATTTGGCATCATTTATTGACTAAATACTCGGTTAGACATTTTTATGTTTTTTCTTCAGATTGCTGGAAAATTAAACAAAATTATCAGGGAATCGGGGCTTAAAGAAGTTGGCCAACTGGAGCAAGATCTTGTTTTTGGAGATGCAGGAACCAAAGATCTTATTAATTTTCTTAGAGTAAAGGAGGTGACTTTTTTTAATTCCTTTATCTGACATTACCAATGACCACTTTTGTTAACTAATGTATTTGAAATGGACCGCCCTTGGGCATTGGCAGGATGTATCACGCGAATATAAGTTGCGGTTGTTGATGATTTATGCAGCTGTTTATCCTGAGAAGTTTGAGGATGATAAAATCTCAAAACTGATGGAGGTTTGGACTGCTTATATCATCAGTCAGACTCACTTCTTCATTTTCTCAAGCTTAAAACTTGAATTGTCGTTGCACTATACTCCACCTTGTTATAATGGTTACCAGTGTTTCTTGAAGATAGTATGAGTGCTGAACTTAACATGTGCATTTACCTGATTTCTCATTAGCATAAGTTTCTAAATTATCATTGTCATGGTGTGTATTCACTGTGGTCATTGCATTTTAAATGTGCCACTCTGGTTTAGAGCTGTCTCAATATTGCTTCCTCTGATTTTTCCTGGACAAAATTCTTCTGACAGCATGCTTTAAATCCTACGGATCCTATGCTCAAGTTCAATGATTGTTCTTGATGTGTTGATTCATAATTGCAGCCTATGTTCTTTGAATTGCGGTAGTAATATTATGTTTATTAACATCTGGACCACATTGGTGCAGCTGGCTAGACTATCACCAGATGATATGACTGCTGTTTATAATATGAGATTGCTAGAGGCTTCACCAGATACCAAAAAGAGCTCAATCGTACCATTTTCTCTTAAATTTGATGTAAAAAAGGTAAAATGTTAAAATGATATGGTGTCTGAGTAACCCAAGAGTCTGAACTCAGTTATAATCTTTCGTTTTCCATATTTGCAGAAGAAGCATGCTGCTCGAAAAGACCGACCTGGTGAAGAAGTGACATGGCAGTTATCACGTTTTTACCCTATAATTGAAGTATACCAAATGGGACATCCTTATGGCATCTTTAATTGTTTGATTTACAACTGAAACTAGGAACAGAAATGGTGGCTGTTTTAGCTGTGACTGACAGATTTATAATTGGCAAAACAATTTCATAATTGATAAAGAAGGCAGAGACTAATATGATATAGAACTCCTTTTGTCATGCATGTGAGGAGAGAAATTACATGGCATTTAGTTCTTTAATAATGGTGGTTTGCATCATGCATTATCGCTTGTAGAGGACTGAAACATTGTATTATTTTGCCACCTTTATAGTGACTGCTCTTTAGATGAATTGTATACCTCTTAAGTGGTTTGTATTTCCTTGCAGGAGCTTATTGAAAAACTAAGCAAAGGTGAACTTCCTAAGCAGGACTACCCTTGTATGAATGATCCTAGTCCAACTTTTCATGGAACCTCCCATGCTGCTTCTGAGAGGACTGCTCAAGTCTCTACTCCGCATTCAATGAGATCAAGACGAACGGCAACGTGGGCTCGTCCTCGAAATTCTGACGACGGTTATTCAAGGTACCCTAGGGAAATATTTTTCCTACTTCAGTGGCCGTTAACCATAAAATTTGAATTTAATGGTTTCTATTAGATCGCGTTTATATTTCAATTTTTTGGGTTGATTTCAGTAGCTAATGAGGTATAACTTGTCTGGTGCCTGCTAATGATTTATATTTTGAAAGTTGCTTATCTTTACATTTATTGTGTTACTTTGTAGTGATTCAATTTTAAGACACGCGTCTAGTGATTTCAAGAAGATGGGTCGGCGCATATTTGTGTTTATTGTTGGAGGGGCAACGCGTTCTGAGGTCTCTCTCTCTCTCTCTCTCTCTCTCTCTCTCTATATATATATA